TAGAATATGCCAGCAGCTTATGGTCACCTTATACCATCAAGCATAAGAGACTAGTCGAAAATGTCCAGCGGAGGGCAACAAAGTTTATTCTTGACTATCCACAGGACCTAACGTATGCCGACAGACTCGCGAAGATCAAGATTCTACCTCTTGAGTTCAGTAGAGATATCTCAGACTTATGCCTACTTTTTAAATCTAGAACTGGAGCAATTACTACTGATGTGAACAAATATATATGTACTTTTGAACCTGGATACCAATCAAGAAATTATGATAAAAACAACTATAATCTTATAATTAAACACAAGCAGGACTATTTTAGAAATTCTTTTTTCATTAGAACGGTTGAACTATGGAACACTCTACCGTCTCTTGTCAAATCCTCCAATTCTTTAAGTATTTTCAAGTCTCATCTTCATAAGTTGTATTCTACTAAGTTATCGCATTACGTACCTCCGGGCATTGCGTGATCAGCGTCTACACATTGCGATTTGTTGAACCATCATCCGGCCATTTTCATCATATTTACAAATATGTTATAAATTGACTCGTGATTTCCAAATTGATTTTGAATAATTCATAATAGTAATCTGCATAGTGGGTAAGTCGCAGTGTGTAAACGTTCAGTACTTTTACAGTCACGATTCAAACCTTAGCTAGTATAAGTTGTTATAACTAATGTGTTATAACCTGTTCTTTATCTTTATTTATATTTAACGTCTTTTTAGGGGTTAGGTGTCAATTGGGACGAGAGTCCTGTTCCTTTCCCCTGTCACGATTTGTATCTGTCTTTATTTGTCTTTAATTAATTAGTTTGTATCGTGTATAAAGTGACAAATTCATTATATTATATTATATTAAAAATGTCTGCACGACGTTATGGAAGTGGAATTTGATCATAGTTTTTCAATGAAGAAATAATCCTCATTTACCTAAAGTGAAGTCTGAAGACAGAACGGGCGAAGCAACGTTTTGCTTATCATGCCGCAAAAGAATGGAATGAATTGAATAATGACGTCAGGAATATCCCGAATCTTAAAGCCTTCAGAAGAAAACTCGCGGTTTTAAACATTGATAAAGTTGAACTTTTTTTAAACACATTTTATAGAGAATTTTTAATCGTGTAAATATTGGTTGTATTTATATTCATGTTCTTAATCTTAAATTAAATTTCTCATGTAATTTTTAGGTAATTTCCACAGGGCTTCATTGAAAAACACCTTTCGTGATATGGACGGGACCCCCTGATTAAATATTATTATTATTATTAAATCTGAACCTCCCAAATGTAGTCAATCGGTCGGTCAATTTGTCTGACGGCAAACACCATAGGCTTTGAACGCAGATTTAATAATACGACGTAGAGATAATTACCGAATCTGGCGAAATATTAAAATTGGAAAAGGTGACATGACAAACTTTTAAATTGCATAAAAATTTTTGTTATTGTCATTGCTTATAGATCATTCGAAAGAGTAGCAGTATTTTCTATGAGATTAGCCAAAATGGAAAACAGATTCTTATTCCTCCATCGGATATTATTCTTAGCATGTACAAGAATATTTTAAGTATGTACCTTATATAAATTGTTTTGTGTGTGTGGAGTACATGTTTAAGCTTATTCGTTCTTGGCACTTGTAAATGTAACGAATCATAATATTGTCAAATTTGGTCGAATGTCCTATAGAAAGTGTTCAAGCATATCATGGTAGCGATGCCAATCAGGTCGTCCTAACTGTCCCACTGCACTTTGGAGATAAAGAAAAGGCTGACATGAGGTACCTGTACAAATATATCAGACACATGCAATAGTCAATAGTCTCGCTTTGTCGCATTTTCTTATCATCATTTTAGATTACTATCCATATACAGACGTTTTGAATGACCATACACGTTAGTGCACGTTAGTGCACGTTAGTGCAATTAGAATAACGTTAGTGCACAGCTCTACACCGTGATGCTCTAGTGTTAGGATTCGTGTTAGATGAGGCCGATTTAGTCTGTAGTCCACACAACACACGCTAGTTAGATAAATGCCGGTTCAAACAATAGTACACTAAAAAAGCAAGCGTCATATGATTATCACTGGCTATAGTTTGCTAAATTTTCAAAATATGGCGCTTGTTTCTCTCTGATTCTACAAAATAGTATAATTATGAATTAGTATTCTTTATCCTTTGTTAGTGACTGTCCGTCAAACGTTACATTAGATTTGCTTGCATGATTCATCTAGCCTTCTTTATGGTTTTTTCAGGCAGATGGAACCCATGCATATGATGATAAAATAGTGCAAAAATACTGTATACTATTGTAATTCAAGTAGATGCCTTATTAGGCTCGTTTCCACTCAAGAAAAATTTTTCACGAAAAATTCTCCGAAAACATCATTGTTAAAAGTTGAAAATTTTCAACTTCAAAATTTTTTTCCGACGGAAAACTTGTGTCCGCCAATCACATTTTACAAAATTTTCTTTCTTCGGAAAAATTTCATGAGTGGAAATGAGCCTTTAGCGTTAGGACTGGGTTAAGGATATAAGGATGAAGAATGTTTAAGGGTAGAAATCGCTGTATTTAAATTGTGGTTAAGTAGTATATTATATACAGTTTCTCTTGACAGTAATATTTTTATATGTTGTAGAAATGCAGCTGAAAAAGCTGGTTTCCGTGTTCTTCGAATCATTCATGAACCGTCAGCAGCCGCTTTGGCGTATGGTTAGTATAAGAATGTTTAGAATAGTGTCATTCATGGCGAATGATGCTGACGAGCTTATAAACTTTCTTCACAGAAAATTATCTTCGTAGGAATGTGACGTAATTTAGAACATCTACAAATTATGCTACTTTGAAGTGCGACTAACCCCAAATATGATTTTTGGTATGTGTAATATTTGCGTCATTCTAAGAAGAAATGTGATGTATCTTTATAGTAAAAAACCTCCTCTTGATCAACTTTTTCATTGTCAAAGTTTCCGGATATGATGTCATTAGGCGAATTTTTTATACAAAAAAATTTGTAATTCACCTAATGGCATCATATCCGGAAACTTTCACAGTGAAAAAGTTGATCAAGATGATATTTTTTATTATAAAGATATCTTCAGATGACCCAAATATCATACACATACAAAAAATCATACTTGGGGTTTGTCACACTTTAACCAAGATAACCAATTCAGCTTTCGGGTGATACGAAGAATTTGTTTGCGTTATCCAAATCCGTTTTCAGCTTCAGCAGATAACACGAACTTCGAACAATTGTTAATTATACATATGCACACATGGTAAGCTTATCCCACATCTTTGTTTTGCGCGGTTCGACAACATTGAATATACTACATACTGAGTACGTTTATGATGGAGAGTACTCTTTGTGCTACTAATACTCCGTGGACTTGTTGCGAGCCCGTTGGTGTTTCATTATTAAACTGACATTTATCACTGTCCTCCACTAAGTCCACCGTGCATGCATGATCATGAGCGATCTCCACCATGTGGCGGAGGGACATATGCCCGTGTGTTTCTTGATGTCGAATCTCTGAAAGCTACGGAGATAATTTGAGTACATAAAACATGTTAATTAAACGTTATTATGTTTTTTAGGAATAGGACAAGATGACCCATCTTCAAGCAGGTGAGAGGGAAATATTAGTTTAAAAATGAATTAAAACTTTATTTTATAAAACATATGTGGTATAAAAGTGATTTACCATATGCTCTTTTATTCATTTTTAAACTAAAATGAGGAGGAGCTAAATAATGCTATTCTCTCAAAAGTCATTGTCAGACAGAACGTCAAACTGTTCTTGAAATAATATACGAAACAGACTAACGAAATGAAAAATTTCATAGATGCAAATTTCGTGAGTGTATTATTTTTATACATTTATTGGACGTATACAGTACATGTGGTTGTATTTTCGCAGCTGCTTCTGGTTAGGTCAACGTAGACGTAGAAAATTTACACTTGAAATTTCCATCTACAAAATCCTTGAAAAATCAGAATCCTGATGTTTCCGGAATGAAAAGTTCCATTTTCAAACTCATGCCTGACAAGGTTTTATCTCTTAAATTTTTCCTCTCAAATGTTATGGTACTTTTCCCGGAGTCTCTTTCGCAGTTTATTTTTATTTAATAACTGTAACTATTACCAGACACTCTACAGTATAAGATGTTTTCTTCTTTATAGTATAGTATTGGTGTATCATCTTGGTGGCAGATCATTACAGATCACATTGATATCTGTGAACAGTGGAATATACAGAATTATGGATTCAATTTATGATGATAGTATTGGAGGAGGAAAATTTGATGAGGTTTTGGTGCAGCATTTAGCTGCCGAATTTAAAAGGTTTGTCATAAAGAATAATATCTTTTGATTTGCTTTGTACGCAATCCAAGGCCTCGAAATTTATGATGGCAATCGGAAAACGCCGACCTGCTTACTGACCCATCATGCCTTTACCTTCAACCATAAAGTCTTATTCCATGTGAACTGTCGAATTGAAACAGGTGACGAGGGGTCGTAATAATATATAACTCCTATCTAAACCTTGGAAAGTTGGATCTGCCTCATCCGCAGGCTCTTATTTTTGCCACATATCAGTGACATATATAGATCAGTGGTTAGGAAAAAGATCGGTTGTGATGTATGATGGGAAGGGCAACGAGAAACGCACTTGCATTCAATTTGTATCCCCCGCCGCCTGAATTCACATAAAGCGAGTGGGGACGTAGCAGAGGTTGGATATCCACCCTTCTACCCAGAGCCGTGCCGAGCGGTATCTGGTTAGGGGGGGGGGGGTGAATTAAAAAATTGGGGTTCCATTCCAGGGCCCCCTCAAAAAAATTTTTCCGGAAAGCAAAAGTTTTTCCGCAAAATGTTTGGGACGGGGGAGGAGGAGGTCGACGAAAGCAAAACGTCCCAAAAAATTTTTCGAACGCTAGTTTTACATAATGGGAGCGTAAATGTAGTTTTTCAGACCTTTTTTGGCCTCAATTTTCCAGAAAATTCCTTAATATTTAACACGTTCCGCAATTCCAGGGCCCCTCTCCGCAAATTGGGCCCCCTTTTTTACTATTCTTTTGGGAGGGTGTTACACCCCCCCCCCCCCAGTAGTTCCGGCCCTGCTTCTACCCTATTCACAATTCTAACTATCAATTGCTACATATCTTCCCTGGATCCCGAGGTTTAATGGCATTTGGAGGCGACAAGATAGCCACTCTGCGCCAGAGTGGAGGGTACAGCTTAAGCTAAAAAGCGAACCCCCTGACCCAGGGTACTACATATCCATATTAACATGCAACAACCAATTTGCTCTACCAACTCGTCGCTCAGTTGGTAGATCATAAGACTAGCAAACCATAGGTCAAGCAAGTTTTCAGCTTGCCCGTGCGGAGCAACTAACGTTAATAAGTAAGGCTACGTGTACACTATTCCGGATAACTTTCCGTAGCGGTGCGAAAAAGCACCTGTCTGATATGGACTGTACAACTTTCAGAAGCTGAGCGAAACAACATCTCTCCGTTGCAATAATTCCTCTGACAATAGCGTTCCTACACTGTAAATTTTAAGGAGTTGAATCAACTCCAAAAGTGTTATTCTGTGACTAAAAACGATGATAGAATAACACTTTTGGAGTTGATTCAACTCCTTAAAGGGCATATGACTCGAAAATTGACGGTGTTATTTTTTAGTCTAATTTGAAAGATCATTGAAAACTTTAGAGTAACTTCTGTGACAGATTTTTGTTTTCTTGCTTCATTTTGGAGATATTTCATTTTGTATGATATGCAAAAGACCAACTTTCTACGTCACACATGCATAATGACTCACTTTAAAATGTTATATAATTTTGTCACTATCAAATAAATTCGCTCAAAATGAATGATGAGCACGAGATTTGTCCACAACAACATCCATGTAGGTTTTCTACTGATTGTGTTTAGTCGTATTGAAGATATACAGCTTTTAGGGCTAAATCATGCATATGTGACGTAGGAAGTTGGTCCTTTGCACATCATACAAAATAAAATATCTCTAAAACGAAGCAAGAAAACAAAAATCTGTCAAAGAAGTTACTCTACAGTTTTCAATGATCTTTCAAATTAGACTAAAAAATAACACCGTCAATTTTCGAGTCATATGCTTTTTAAATTTACAGGGTAAAAGGTAGGGATAGGTGTGTTTTCACGTCGCCATCGAAAGCTATCAGGTACAGTTTAAACGTAGCCTAAGCAATGTAGCGTCTTCTAAAAAAGTGATCTTTTATCAACTGTAGAATGTGGAAAGACGACATAAAGGACAATAAGAGAGCGATGGCGAAACTTCGAGCTGGTGCTGAAACGTGTAAACATGTTCTCACGTCACATGGTACAGCGACATGTTCTGTTGAATCACTTCATGATGGTATTGATTTTCAATGTAATGTTTCCAGGTATACATGCCATCTTCGTGTTATAATATAATTTAAAGACAGGGTGGAGTTAGGTGAAGCCAGAGTAACTCGCAGCTCTCGAAAACTCGTCAAGGTAAGTTTAAAACCGCTCAAATAAAACAACTTATTATTAGCATGACAACATTACTGGATGCTGATTGGTTGAGAGGAGTACAATTATATCATTAATTGTACTGCAGTACAATTATTGATTTTCACAAAACAAACAAAATGGCCGAAAGGTATTTAAACACAAATTAAATTGCCCATGAGGAACTTAAAGCAAAAGAACTAAATGAAAATACGAACAAAAGCACCAAATTTTGGTTGAAAGTCTGGCAGGACTGCATGGGCTTTGGCGAGAGAATGTGATGTTGACATTGAGAATTATCCAATTTTGTCATGCTAATAATAAACAAGTAACGGCGGCTCGTCCAATTTTGGCAAAAATTGTATAATTAGGTCGTGTATAATTAGAAAGCTGCGGATTGATAGGCCATAGAATGTTTGCTAAAACAAGGCACCATTTTGTGAAATATAATTATATACAAAAACTTAAATTACTTGAAAAATTACGTGGAAGTTCATTTTGTATTTTGTAGTTTACGCATAGATATGTGAGTTTTTTTATGTGTTCTTTCTTTATTTAGAGCACGATTTGAATCACTAAGCTCTCAATTGTTCCAAAATTGTCTTAATCCAGTTCAAAAACTCCTTGAGAAATGCAATGTCGAGGCTGCTGATATCGACAAGGTAATGCGATGATTGCCTGTTCTTACTTACTAAACATTCATTGCATGCCAAGTCCTTCGACAGATAATTACGGAATAGCATGGGAGATTAAACTTTTTCATTATAGTCTAGTCATGGTTTAAAAGTAAAAATTGAATTTAGTTGCCCTAGTAATAACTGAATTTCATCCACTTGATTCGAGACCGATTACTTAGACCCCAATAGGCAATTCCAGCTTTTAATTTATGCGCGCAGGGGAGGATGGGAAGTAAGGTATCATATTGCTGATTATGCTGAAAAAATAAAAATGACGGCCGTGTTAACACGGAGTGATAGCTTATACTTGTAAATAATGAAATATTTCGGTTGTTTCGGCAGTTTTTATTGAAATGTTTCAGCATAATCAGCAATATGATACCTTACTTCCCATCACCCCCTGCGTACATAATTAAAAGCTGGAATTGCCAATTACACGATCCGGATTCGCATCGGAGCGATATCAAATTTTACAGTTTCAAGATTATGATAATATAACAGAATTACGCCCGTATTCTAAAAGCTCACTCACACTCAATGACAGGAGGTTCAATCTAAGCTTCTCTGGAGTGTCAGTGCTATTTTTGAATAGCTGAAGGGTTAGTGTCGTACCTTACTATGCGACTACTCACCCTCCAGTTATTCAAAAACAGCACTGACACTCGAGAGAAGCTCAAATTGAACCTCCACTCACTGAGTGTGAGTGTGAGTGAGCTTTTAGAATACGGGCGTTAGTCAAAAACTTCAAATATATAAAAGTTGCGTGTGAGAGGCCAAAAACCGTCTTTTTTATGTCGCTCGACTCGCTCCGATGCGAATCTGGTATTGTGTAACTGGGGCCTTACGGTATAATCTACAGTATGCCCATAGGTCGAAGAGGCGTATTGTCGGCATCCGCCGTGCAGCAATATAATTTCGACCAAGGAGGTATTTTACTGAGGCGGAACGCCACATCTGCCGTCAGCTCCCAGTAACTTACCACACAGTTCAAATTTACCTGAAACCATGCTATTCTTATGATGAGTTGGCGCGGCAAGGAATCGAACATCGGACTCGATCCCCAGATGATTGCTCTACCTTTTTCAAGTTCTGCAACGTCAAGTTACAGTAGAACTGGCTTTCAGGTTGGGTTAAATCTCTTGACACTATTATATGACGGCAAGCTTTGCTAAGTAATATGCGTGGTGTTTACACATGAAAGCATGTCTGTAGTTTTCACTCGAAATTTCCATCCACGAGAAACCGACCATTAAGGGTAGTTCGAACTCGAGTTTACTTAAAGGCACAGTTCAGCCTTCTCAATGATAGTTTTTAAGGCTCCTTACAGCCCTTTTAATTGTCTATGAAAAACTAACCGGGAAAATCAATTACGTTTTATTGTTAAAAACATTGAATTTACTGATCTTGAATTGTGCATAATTGATTTTCCTAGTTAGTTTTTCAATTAAAAGGGTTGGAATGCGCCTTAAAAACCATCATTCAAAAGGCTGAACTGTGCCTTTAATTCTTCTCGTTTGATCGCGGCATTAAAGTTCTGCTGTGATCTATTTCAAGGTAATTTTATGTGGTGGTTCTACACGGATACCCAGACTTCAATCATTATTACAAGATGTATTCAAAGGAAAAGAATTATTGAAAAGGATAAGTCCTGAAGGAGTGGTTGCTTACGGAGCCGCTGTACAGGTTTGTTTCTGCACACTCGTGATGTGTTTTACTTCTACCGTCCTTTGCTTCAATGATCATGTGGCACCTTCATGTTTGTAACGACCTTTGACAGCGAATGACGTTTAACTTCTCTCACGCTGATTGGCTGGGACAATAGACCCTTCCGTAAAGTACTTAATCTTGGCTATACAGTCTCGTTTTCGTAATTGAGCTTTATTCTTTAGAGCCCTTTATCTTGTTACGGATGACCTACTGTAATCATGTAAAGGTCTTGTTATAACTGTATGATTTCGTAAATATGTCGTCACCTGGAACAAGATAACGGGCTCTAAATCGAATACCTCAATTACGAAAACGAGGCTTTGGAGCCAAAACTGAGTAAGTATACGAACATACGACTTCGACAAAACGCAAAATACGTCGCACATGCAAATAAAACATGATAAAAAATTAGAGCACATTAGCTGAAAAATTTGCACAAATTGTTGATGTCTCTATGCGGGATGCCAGAGGGTATTCTATTTGTCACATTTAAAAAAAATTCTGTGATTCAATCGGTTGAAAAAGTACACAGTTTATGACGTATATTCTAAATTAGAAAATATAGGTAATATTGGTACTTTGTTAGCCCAATTTTTAATTCAAAATTGTTCGACGAAGTATTAGTTCCGCATTGAGTTGAATTGAAAGAAGTAAAAAGGCACCACTCGGAAAATCGATTAAAAAAGCCGTCAGATGAAGTGCGAGCAGGAGAATGTGACGGCGATAGTGAAGCTTACTCGAGTAGTCTAAACAAAGAGCCATACCGTGGTTCTAACGATCTGGTGCATATCTACTTTAGAAAGTTACCAGTACAACTATACACACAATAATTGTTAAAAATATTACATACCTGAATACAAATTCTTCCACGGAGAGTTTGAGATCACATTTTGCTGTTTCCTTGTTTCACTTTATGTATACAGTATATTTGATACCCCCAATATCTGCTTTGTTTTCATGTTGTAGTTCAACCGCAGACCATGGCATAACGGTTTTTCCCATAAAAAAGTTTAACTTGTTTAAAATACAAACATCGGTATTAAAAGCTAAAACGTTAAAAGCTAACGTACATTAACTGTTTCGATGAAAAACATTTTTCTCCTTAAGCTATTTCATATAAATCCTGGCATGTATCTTCAAATTCAAAGCTGTATCTGCAACAATTTTCTCGGTTGTTTATATTAAAATTTTAGTCAGCAGATTGACATTTGCTCCCGACGTGATTTCGACCAATCAAAATGCTGAAGAACGGGCATCAAATTTGAGAGGTGGACATCAATTTTCGAGCAGTAGACATCAAATTTTGGGAGGTGAATAGCAAAATCGATAAACAGGACTAGGTGGAAAGCAATGCATGGTAGCGGCTATAGGCGACCAATCAGAACACGATACGCAAAATATTTATGAGACAATTTCTGATTATCGGTGGAAAAGGATAAGCATTGTCTGAATAGAAGCGTGTCAGCAGTGGCCTCTCTTCCCCCTTGAATTCGCCCGTGAATAAATAATGAGGTCACACCAAAATAGCTGCCACAAGTCTAACAAAGTTGGAACACTCATTAAATGTTAATCTAGAGCTTGAAATGTCACCTGTAACAATTACGCATGACTGCCAACTCTCATTGAATACGCAGTTGTAATCATTATGTTGTTGATTATTTTTAGGCGTCGTTACTACAAGGAGATGAAGGAACAGAACTACACAGGAATACTCATCAAATCAATTGTACAGCCAGGGCCATTGCAGTTAAGGTGAATTGTTCTTATCTGTTTATTTTCAATTCAAGTGCGGACACTTTGATGAATCTTATGGATGCGAATACGTCGACACATGAAAAGTGAATTGTATTTAAAATAACTGCTGTGAATGAATTAATGCCCTTTTGTCTGTTGCTGCAAATTGTTTTATTCTATTGCTTCTGCCCTTCATTGATCGAACTTATTTCCTTTGAGGATTGCCTCACTGGGTATCCACCAAGGAATTGACCAATCAATTCTCGTGTAGTATCAATGTTTAAAATATTCATGTATGCCACGTCTTACATCGTGAAAATTTGAAACTTTTAGGTTAATGAAGATTCATCATCATCTCCTGTAATCACAGTCATACCCAGTCTAACTCCAATCCCAGTTAAAAGAATATATAAGTTTACCTCTTCACAAGATGATCAGGTATAAATTATGCAGCATAAAAATATATGGAGCCCAAGTAATTATTTTTAGGGCGTGTTGTATAAGGGACCGGTCATAAAGTAACTGCTAGGATGGGCCAGAGGAAATAAGGATGGGCCATGAAATTATTTTTATCAGTTTGGGTGGGCCATCAATTTGTTTTTTGTGCAAATGGATGAGCCATGAAACACATATAGCCTGTTTGCACTCAATATGTACATGCTATAATAACTACTACACAAGTTATGAGAAGGTGACTCAGTGCATTGTTTGATCATGGGTCGTGAAATTTTTCCAATGACCTACGATGGGCTTTGAAATTTTTTCTAGGTTCTTGGGATGGGCCACCGATTTTTTTTGGAAAACTTATTTGTCCCTCCGGCCCACCCTAGCATATGACCGGTCCCTAACTATAGACCGTTTTATACTGGGGATGTTTCCCGCGCAAATCGACTTCTATTTCTTTGTTGAACTGGTTGATCATTAGGGAAAAATTAGATTGATCACTATTATTATGATATTTTATCAAAAGACTACACATTCGCTTACATGTGTTTATTTCTTTCTAGAGTAATATTTGTGTAGATGTTTATGAGATTTTTGAAAATGATCCTGAAAAAACCGACCAACTTCTAGCTAAGGTAAAGGTATATTACGAAATTATCGCCCTAATATCCTCTGGCTGATTTTAAAGGCATAGTTCAGCGTGTCACGTGATTGATAGTTTTGAAATAGAGAAAGTTAATATGTATTACAGTACCAAATTATTTAACAAAACGTCTTCCTAACTTCGCTCTCAGCGACAAGAGCGAGTGCACAAATTCACATTTAAAACCATCATTCAAAAGGCTGAACTCTGCTTCTTAATGAACATTGAGATGGCAATTTTATTCAACCTATCGTAAACTGTTCAATGTACAGCACAACACATTGTAATTTGTCACATTACAATCTGAACCATGAATAATGATCTAATAACCACCAAGGCGTTTAATACGTTTTCATACTTTAAGGGGGGTGTATTAAATAAGTGGCGTATATTAGCGAGAGGGGCGGGGGGGTTTGTATCTGCGAAGCAGATATATATGCTGTCGCAAACGTGATGTTACCGTATGTTAGCACGTAGCCATTCAGCGACGAGCTTATATAATTCAGCCAATTAATGATAATTTAAGCCAATCAGCGATTAGTTTACATCGATTGTTTACATCGTGCCCGCTGATCTAACCTGCGAACGGGCATACTTTAGCCTCGTCAGGCCTCGTTTATAAATCGTGTTTTATATTCTTTCAAAAATATCTTGATATTTTTATCAATTTATCTTGATTGGCTGTCTTGTTTTCTGACTTTTCTCGCCATTCTACTTGCGATATTATTTCGAAGTTATTTATCAACATGGAATCTTATCCTCATCTGGTAAGTAGTCAAATACCACATAATATATATTTAAATACCAAATTTGTGCAAATATATGTCCCACATATTTTATAAGTTTTGTAATACATGAGTTCGCCAGTTCGGCAAATATTTACTACCGGGTGTCCCAAAAAAAAGTACTCCTGTTTGATTCGTAATAACTTCTAAACAAGTAAAGCTTTTAAAGAGAAATAACTTGCATTAAATAGCGGAAGGACTAACTTAGATTTTGATATATTACAGTTGTATTTTACTTAAAAATTCACGGAGATATTAATGTTCAGAATCGGGAGCATATTTTGGGATGTGTCTAAAATTAGCGAAAATCGGCATATCAAATATTAACTCCAGCGTTTGTTTGCTTAATG